GTAATCCCCATATCACCAGGCTCCAAAAGAGCAGATCTGCTCTATATTTACTGGGTGGGTTTGATGTGCTCCCATTCATTAGGCTTGCAGTGAGAGATTAATTATCAAAAATAAACCAAGCCCTGAAGGGGAGAGCAACAACTAATGTTGTGTTAGGAGGAATGACAGTAGACAGAGCACTTCAACAGTTTGCCCACTGCAGACCTTCATATTATTAGAATACTAATTATATTATTGAATTAATTATCATTGAATGTAGATTATTATTTGACACATGAATCAAGGCACCACTAGTGTTATCGATTCCAATTCACACTACGATGAAAACAACTTAATCCTTTACTTTAGATAGAATATTATGAGCACACCTGCATCCTTTTGATCACAAAGCCAAAGAATGTCACACATTTATACAACCTACCTAACCTGCATTGCTACCACGCATTCCCTGACATGCCTATTTTTGTTTTTGTTTCAAGTTGGCAAAATATTATAGATATACACCAAATCATTTTACATTCACCAAATTTTGACTACAACATGAAAAGACAGAAACTTTAAGGATGAAGACTGGAAAAAGATAGATAGTATCTATTGGAAATAGCTGCATGTACTGTAGTACTGCATCTTCCATCATCCTAACTCACACAGCTGTGATGTATTGGGAATAAAATGCCTTAATCAGAATGTCTGGCGCTAATGTTTGTGAGTGTGTGTGCGTGGGTATGCCCTTGCTTTTGTGAAGGAGGCTGGAGAAAAAAAAATATTTCTAAAACATATCTTTAAAAAGACCATCAGTTTATTTATTTTTTTAAGAGCATCAGCACAGATCCCTTCTTATTGCTGGCTTACAGAAGGGTACATGGACATTGGAGCTGAGGTGGACGTGGCTATACTAGCTGGTTAATGTGAATTCTATTTCTCACTTTCTCCAAATAGATGAGGAATACATTATTCATAACGCCAAGGGAATAGCAACTTGTCTATGGTAAATTCATCTTGTTCCTCTCATCCTCCCTTCATCTTCCTACTTTCTTATTTCTGAAAAAAGGTCTGACACAGCACTGAATTCATCAGTGTCATTCCATTCAGAGGAGCGGCGGCCTTCCTGCCCAGTGACTGACATATTTGCTCTACAAAGGCAAAATGGAAAGCTAACCCAACGGTTTAAATTTACTTAATAATTTCAAAATACACAATATTGTCCTTACTCTAACAATTTGTCTGTTGTTACTTCCAGTGTTCGTAGACAAAGAAAGTGTACAAAAAGAGTTAGTGCACCCAGACTAATAATCTTTGTAGTGCTGACTACATGTTCCTTTTTCACACTGCACTGCTGTGAAATGCTGTCTTCACAAGAACTACAGACAACACCTGACCTCCCCACCAGCAATGCTGGGTGTGACCAGAGGTTCAACAGTGGTTAATGAAGCAATTCCTCCAAATAAGATGCAGTGTGTAATTTTACCAAATTTTATGTATTTAATTGTTATATTATTTTATGTTTAAGTTTGTGGGTGGTTTATGTTTCATCTGACTGCAAGACTCTTTATCACCACACAGCTTGTGAAAATCAAGTTGAATTAATGAATAACAGAGGCGAGCTAATACAGTTGATAGAGTTGTAGTTAAATGACACAAAAGTTACACTAATATAAAGGTATTTTAAGTTTGACTTTTAAAAATCAATGGGTCTCTTACTTTTGGGATGATAAAAGTACATAAATTTCAACCTAGATTTTACTTTTCAAGATATGTTGGTCAAAGACAAACAAACAGACAAGCAAATCCCAAGACTATCTAAGCATTGACATACAGTAGAGCACCACAAGGGCATAAGTCAATAAAAAGACTGTGGTATGTAAAAATCACACAGAACTTACCTGATGTAATAGTCATTCCTGATGAGCAATAGGTGCTGAAGAATTGACAGGAAGTAGGGCTCTGAGCCAGTGTCTTTCACCATATTCGACAGGAGATGGTACACTTCACTCATATCAGTACAGAAGCAAGGTTAAGGAAAACAACTCTATGACAGTCTTACTTTTTAGGTTTCTAAGTTAATCCATTTAACAGTTAAGGTTAACTTCTTGAGAAAACACCACATTTCAGTTCATTATTCAGGTGCATTCAATTCCTTGTAAACATTTAAAATTTTATTAGTACTTCTTTTCTTTATAATTACTTATTTATTTCCCCCAGTTCCTCACCTCAAGGTTTTCTGACAGCCATCATTGTGCAAAGCAAACGGAGATGTGATTCCTCTTATCCACTTTCTCTCAGGGGAGCTACAACAGTGGAAAATAGCTAAGTTGAGGACAGGCATTGGCAATAAAGAACGCTCCTTCTGGTTTACCTGTCACTCACTAGAATAGAGAAAATTCATTACATTTGAATGTTTAAGGCAAGAATGATGGGGAGCTGATCATTCGCAGGCCAAAATATAGCTGAGATTCAGTTCTCAGATTGAAACTGACATGTACTCAGGAGTGAAAATTCATGTTATTAAATTTGCAAAAGGTATTGATTATGTGTCTTACGTTAGCTTTCCCCAGTAGGAAACATTGATGGCTTTCAAAAATAATGCGAGAACTACGTATATAACACACAGTAAAGGTAAGCATTGAAACATATTTCAAAATTACATTATGTTAACTGTTGATTTGTAGTACATTTAAAAAAAAATATTGTAATTTGTGTTTCTCAAACTTTTAATAGTTTCCTAAAAGTGTAGTTCTAACAAGTAAAGATCCCAGGAAAATGAATGATTTGGAGACTATTTAACTTTGCTTGAGAAAGGAGGATTTCCCCATGGAGCCTCATCTTGTTTGAAAGAGTAGAAAAAGGTTCTCAGATATGTGCACACATGCAGAGAAAAGAAGACTAGGGAGAAACTTGCAGAGATGAGAACAGGTGAAATTCGGGACGGGGGAGTTGGGGGTGGGTGTGACCTCCAGTACATTACAATCAGTATCAACGTAGTATATCTGTAGTATAAAACATGTCAATGTCAAAACTCAACGCTCAAATTGATGTTTGTTCAATTTTGTTCATGAAGTCAACTGTCTGACATTTGGGAAAAACACAATGATTGTCACAGCTGTCTGTGTAATTAGCATGTCAAACCTATCCTTCTCCGTGGCTGCCTGCAGCTACACTTCCCCTGTCCTTGCGACTGCAACTTCCACGAGGTTCATCTACACTACAAAAGAACTTGCACCTGTGTTACTTTGTGGCTATAACAATGTTGTTGACACAATGTCCAAGAGACTGTGCAGTCACTGCTGCAGCCAGTGGAGAGCCAGAACAGTGCCCATCTGTGGGCAACACCAAACTTATGTTTCACAACAGTCAGTATTTAATGTTTTATTAGGCTATAACTAATCAAAACTCAAGTTTAGCATAATTTTCAGGACACACAAGACAGGATTCAGGACCACTGCTCATAATTTGGAACTGTCCCAAATTTTTCAGGATGTCTGGTCTGATTTTTTTATGATGTTCAGGTAACTGAGCCAAATTAACACTCAACAGAGCAACAGTAATATTTCTACTACTTTAATGTGTTATAATAGATGATTTCATGGATATACTAATGTTACAGATCCAAAACATGACCGATTAGAGGGGCCCAACTAACACGTTTTCAAAGGTTAATCGGAATATTTTGTCAATATTATTTGTCAGATTTCATCAACAGCTAACGAAGGATGACTCTGTAAAAGAGTATCAATGTCAGATTCAATTTATTTCCCCAATAAAAAAAAACAGCATTTAACTGCATTCTCCATTTCCAATACTATCATCCAATACAAAACAATCTGTAGCCGCTGCAATTGGGGAAGATCAATTCTTTTAAATACTGTTTGACACTTTTCCTATTAGTTTCAACAATGTCTGTAATTAAACTCCTATCCCATATAATTTTTTTTGAGAGAGAGAGAGGGATGGGAATACAGGCTCCTCTGCAGTATCATTTCCCTCCCTTGTATTAGCTGAGTATGAAGCCTGAGAGAATTACCAATCCTGTGAGATTCAATTATAGCCTCACCACAGCAGTATTTGAGAGGACATGAGAAGGGGCTCAGGCTGGGAAAGTATCCAACTAGCTTCATCTATCACTAAGCTGCAGACATAAACCTAATGTGGAATGCCAATCCATTCGATGACACCCCCTTCTATGCTATCTTTCTCGCTCTGTGTCTCTCTCTGTCTTTACACTCCCTCTCCAAATAATGAATAAACATGAGTGGCAGTCAAGTGTGACGTAGGCCACTCAATGGTGGGGTCAATCAATCACCATTGCACAGCCCATTAATATTTATTAGTGGCCTGGAGTCACCTCCTCGGCACCTAGACCTGGGCCGGACACAGAGGAGACTCTCGAGGTTAATATTCATGAAACTGCTGGGAGAAACAAGACACATATGCAATGCTCAGGTAGTAAAAGTCCTACCTGCCTGATATATATGTGTGTGTGTATGTGTGTGTGTGTGTGTGTGTGTGTGTGTGTGTGTGAGTGTGTGATATGTGTGCGTAACTGTGTGTGTGCTATGCAGGCAAGGGGACAAAGTGTAGCCTGGGCATTCGAATCATGCTCAGAGCTCACAGATCAATACCACATTGTCCTTGGAAACAAACATTGGGCCTTCTCATTTGTGAACCTGCTCAAGCACATCATTAATCCAGGTGCACTTTTTGTCTCTGCGTGCACACACATACACAGCCTTCTCCCCTCACCTACATGTGTCAACAGAAACCGTCACTCACAGCAGCACGTTGTGCCAGTACTAGAACTGTGGGATTTGGTGGAAGAAAAAGGTTGTGGGAATGAACATCTGCATAACAATGTCAGCGTCGGGTTTGTCTGCTCACAATGTCAGCCACTCATACATAGCCTTAGAGAAGATTTGTGAATTATTAAAGGGTTCTTCTCTAGGATGCTTGAAGAAGTTTCCAACTCTCGACTAAATTACTGCTCACCTTATCAACTTCTTCTCTGCATGTTAGGAGTTAAATAGACAGAGCTGGAGGAGAAAAGTCGCATTTCTAAAATGCAACAGAAAGACAAGGAGTGATAATACTTGAACAGAAGAAACCTTGGCAATATAATATGCCTACACATAAAAATGTTTAATTGTCTACAGTTTAATTGTGCAGTAAATGGTAAGAAAAGGAAAGCATATGTCTATTTGATATCATCCTCTTGAGTCTTACAACAGTAAGTACTTAACCCAGTACTAACAGACAAAGGACAAAAAGTGATGTGGAGAGGAGGAGAAGAGTAAATAAAAAGAAGAGTGAAGAGGTGGGAGGTTAAGATGACAGGGTTATTTACCAAGTATACCTGGTCAGAGATGGAGCTGGATATTGTGCTCAGCCTCCTCAAATCCTTCTCTAATGAATCAACCCATGAGGGGCTTTAGCGTGTAAAGCTTGACCAAACCCACAATACACACTCATCTCTCACTTATAGCTCTGCAGGTATTGTCATCTGTATATTCACAGAGAGGGAGGACAAAAGGATATTCCATCTCAGCACGGATGTCATCCAGGCGATGGGAGAGTTCAATAGAGTCCTCCTCCTTGTTCTCATTGAACACCTTCAGCTGTATGTCTAGCTCCTCTGTCTCTTTTAGCTCCTAGATTGAGTTACACAGAGAAGATAGTTGCAATGTATATTATGATAAACAGATGTAGCATCTGCAGGAATAATTTAGATATAACTTGTAATAATATATTACTCAAGTATTTGTATTGTTGAATCTTATCACACTTTTATATCTCATTATAAATCAGGCCTATTATAAAACTGTAATACTAGAATATTAGTTTCCCTGTTCCAGCTGTACAAAGAACTGGGAACTGAGACGACCTGAACCCTCTCACTAGGTTTTCCACACAGTAACTATTCCTGCACACCTGTTCCAGCCACGAGGGGCTATGGCAGTGCTCTTTACCACTTCTCTATGAATCACTGGCAGTGGAGATTACAGATGGAGACAGAGCAAAATGTAACCCAATTTCTGCAGGTATCAATCACCCCGTTTTTTGGGTGCACCATCTGTCTTAAGCGACCGTGGTTCGGAGGGAGGTGCACGGTAGGGTGGGGGGTGGGGGGCAAATACATGTGTCAAGGACTATAAGAACAAAACAAATGGTGCTTTCTTTTTCAGTGTTCACTTTTTCTTTGCCAACAGCTACGCTGACTCCTGAGCATAACTCATAATTAGATGAAAGACTGTCAGTTTGAATGTCGGAATTAAAAAGCGGTGAATGTGGCATTCATAAATGGCTGTACATTGAGACTCTTTCATATCAGGGGGCAGAACTGAAGATAATTAAAGTAATGACAGCAATAATCAACAGGAGCAGCTGGGATGACTTATTAACAACTGGCTCTGTGACACGTTCACCCCACTCGCTACAAATGAGAGCTTGAATGATGAGCTGGAGCTCGTTTTCCTTCGCTTGGTGTGTAGGCTTGCTGATAATGATGCCAGGATGACCCGTGTGATAAGGTGCCAGCACTGCATAACACTTGACACAAGCTGCTACAACTACTCCTACTACTAGTTATACCACTACTAGTAGTACCATAACTAACTGAGTTAAAAATAACAACAACATTAACAAAATTTCTTTTTAATATTATTTGTGTTATGTGACAGGTCCAGCCTTTGTGATTTGAGGTCACTAACTAACTCATTACTGTTCTCAAATCTTGTGAGGAGGAATTCCTTTTACACCTGGATTATTTGGTTTGAATGCCTCATTGTTTAACAAAATTGCATTAAATATTCATAACATTTTGAAAGTGCTGCATGACTGAAAATGCTGTTTGGCTATTTGTTAACTACAGTCAAATAATGTGCTGAAATGTGTTCTGATGTAAGGCTAAAAATCTGCTAGGTGGAGAATGTAGTCAGAGTCTAAAACAAGGCAAGCGGTTCTAACAGAATTACCAAAGCAATACACTCTTGACAGAATTTCATTTTTTATTCATGTGCATAGTCTAACCATGTTGGGCCTGATAGTTTGATAACTCACAGGTAGGATCTTCTTGAGGCCACATCTTAGGAACTCATTACGTAGGTGTATCCGAAAGTCCAGGTCATCAGGGGAAGTGACCAGGGCATTGATCAGCTGCATGCAAGCAACCTTTGCAGTAGACAAAAGACAGAAAAACAAATGAGACATTTCTTGCAAAACATATCAATACAAGATCATTCCATTTAATTGTGAATTCTTTTTGGTCTCTGTAATATAAATATGCCCTTTTGAGTCATTATTTGCTCTTAATATTCCCTTTCCAAAACAAAAACTACAGAAATGGGAGTGCAACAATGAGAGAGAGAGCAGAGGGATAGTAGAATGTACAGATCTGGTGTGTCTACTGAATAGATGTGCATTATTAATGGATTTATTGGTAAGGAAAAGGCGTGTGTGTGCGCGTGTGTGTGGGGGGTTGGGTGGAGGAGGGGGATAAGAGTCATCGGTGATGAATTATAATGAGCAGTAAGGTGTTTCAGGGGAGCAAGCCATGGATAAGACAGTTTTCCTTGGACAGACAATCGATAGCAGACTGAAATATTCCCATGGAAGATAGGAGACATTGTCTTCTGAAACCTTGACTGTGTACTGTTGGCTTGTATGTGTTATTAATAAGCGCCACAACACTGCTGATTCTGTGTGGTTTCCTGGGTCAGTTTTATTATTTTTCGAGTTTAAATTTTTAGTCTAACACTCAAATCTACAAATGCACGTCTTTCTATGTAATGCCATCAGCATTTACACTAGGAAAAGCTTTCTTTTTACTTGTTGTCTTGCTTTGTCCCCTAAACCTTTTAACACACTTTTGTTCAATAAACAAAATTTTAAGTAATATTTAATGAGCACTACAGTCAAATGTTGCTGCTTTTTGAGTTGATGTCTGATGAAGGGCAGAACAAAAGCTATCTGAAATGAACAGTATTGTTCTGTTTTACTGTTACCTTAAACTTGTAGCAGCACTACAACAAACGTTTGTTAGCGAGGTAATAGCGAGGTGAAAAATGCATGTTGTTATGCAATACAGATATAAGATACTGTATATTCCCTTTGGAAAGCACAAGCTTGCTGCAGTAAAGGATGCACCTCTATTCATATATGTGGCACCAGTGCCAGGCCAGGCAGTTCCAGAAAAGCTTGAGGGCCTCTATAGGCAAGATCTCTGCATTGAAACATTTTACTCTATCCACCAGAGGCCAGAAACATAAAAGAAACTCGACCAAATCTCCACCAAATTTTTGTATGTGCCATGGTGCTCATGAAAAATTCTTTCTCTTCTCCTGCATATAGATTGAACACCTTGAACATACCTCAGTCATGTACTATATATGTGTCACATGGAGTGGGAAGCGGTTGTTTTGGGGGGGTGGGGGCATTACCTGGGTTAGGTTTAGCGAGCTGCAGAGGTGCCATAGGGGTGTACCAAACATCATAATTAAAAGTGGCACTCCTGGGACGGTTTTAAAGTTGAAATGCTGAGTTTCTCTTGTGCTCAGCAGACAAGCATAGCCTGAACTACAGCAAAACACATTTTAATCACATTAGCAAAGTCTAGTTCTACAGCCCATCACAGGTTTTGGATAAAAAGTCTATTAATTTCCTTGAACCCCCTGCATCAGCAAAGCATTTTAATTTACTTCACAATTAGCAGAGCTTCATTTCATTAACGGCAAAATTTAAAGGAAAAACAACAGCCTCCTAATAAAAGAATATCTACTTTCGCTTCCACCACCCGCCTCATCAGTTTCCTTCATGACTTTTCCTTCATGACTTCACAATCCCCGCAGTTAAAAAAGTAATTCCTAAGGTAATTCCCAGCTTTTGGTTTCACAAAAACATGTTTAAAGCTGTGTTTTTATTGCTGTCGTATAGTTTTTCCTGCTGCTGAAGAATACTATTGAAAATTAAGAGAGGTATGGTGCTTTAGTTGCCCTTTCACGAGTCCTCTGAGACCCAACTTGACAGCAGCATGGGGAAGTATTTGTAAGATGTGAGAAAATTGAGCAAGGTAGTGCGAGGAGGAGAAAATGTGAGAAAAAGTGACAAAAAGCTTAGAGGAACTCAACATCTCTGCTTTTTTATTACTGCTTTTTTATTATCATTTTTCTGCTCTTTGCAAAAAGAATGGGAAGTTCAATAGAGGTGCTCAAAGAAGCAGGGGTTTTTGATTAAAGCAGTGACAATGGAGCTCCGGCTGCATTTCAATAGCCCGGTGATCACATCCCATCGTGTGCAAGAGGTGCAGTTGGGTTTACAAGTGAACTAAAGACAGGAAGAAAATGAGAGAAAACACATGTATGAAGACAGTTGAGGCTGGGGTACAGTGGGCCACAGAGTGACACAACTGTCAATTTGATTTTTGCCTGGCATTAAGCGTGATCTTCATGACACAACATAATTTGCGTGAATCACACTGGACTGTGCCAGATTTCTGTCCACTGTACATGGGAAAACTCCTGCTTTTGTTAAAAGTTGCTACTAAGTCTTTTTAAGTATGAATCAGTGTGCATGACAAGACAAGGCATCCTGAAATGTGTACTGTACCACAGAATAATACAGCAGTCAGAACAATGCTACAGAGTGACATGGTTACTGTATTGGCCACTGAACCATAAAGGTAACTTTTCTCCTTCAAAAGAAAGAATCTAATAAAAGGGCAGTGATAAATATGAGACATTGATGTTAACTGCTTTTTGTGCGCAATTCCTAACCTGCAGCTGCTGGGCGTCGTGGTTCTCCAGTCCTTCCACAATTGGAGCAAACCTCTCTTTATTGTTCCTCTCTGCAGCAATTGTCATGGCAGCTAGAATCTTATCCAGGCTGGAAGAAAACAGAGAACGGGGAGCAGGCACAACACAAAAGTCAACAAACACTTTTATCACCTCACTGACAGGACATTTACTCACAATTTTCAGCTCAAACACCATGTATCTTATCTTCCTGTGATGGTGTGGACATTTGTTTGGCCAGTCTTTGGTCACCCTGACAAATGCTACTGCTCTCCATCTATTTGTATGCAATCCGGTCTATTATTGCTGCAATATCCAATTTTGACTTCATCGTGCTTGTTACTGAGGTGATGCTAGACAAAAGCAGGTCTTTACTGCAAATGTGTTCAGTTGTCAAAGCAATTGTGGTAGGGTGTATTTGGCTGTGTGAGAAAGGGTGCAAATTATTGAGGAGACTGCCAGACCAATGTGCAAATACACCTATTGAGAAGGTAAGCAAATTAGAGTACTTGCAAGGCCTCAAGGCAGCTCAGCTAAATAGAGCTTTGGACAATTTCAACATTTAAATTGTGAATGAAAGAGAAATTGTGTGCTGAACACACAAACACACTACAATAAAAGTAAATTGATGTCTATTGAGCACTTATGTAAATAGTGATTTACAATATTCGTACATAATAATTGGCAACAACTACTCTCTCTGTCACTACAAGGCCACATTTGTTATTTTGCCTTCATTGAGGAAATAAACAGCTTAACTCTCCTTTCCTTAACCTTCTTACTCCTGTGGGTACAAAAGAGATCTTAGCCTGATATATCTGATATCCCCTTGCTGTTCCAATAAATTAGTTTAAAATAATAAAGAAATAAATCACACTAGGCCAATTGGTAAAATGTGAGCTGTATGGATCAAACAATTTGTGTTTATATGTGAGATGTCTACTTACACGTGTCACATAAGGTTGCTATTACCTTATATCAACCCCAAAAAATAACACTTTCAGGATGACAAAATACTAGCACAGTTGCTTTGTGAGTGAGGGAGATCATGTGTCTGACCAATAGGACTGTATGTGTGGAGGTAGCCTGACACAGAGATAAATGGAACGACCACGCTCTGATAGGGGTTACAAAGTCACAGACAAGCATGGGGAGCTGCATACTGAGTAGCTTTAAAGCCAGTTCAGACGACGCTTCAAAACAGGCGAGATAGATCTGCTTAACTTGTCGTGTTCCCTTTTGATGCTGTCAGCTGAAGTGGGTGTTGAACATGAGTCAGCGTCACAACATTGGTTGGCAGAGAAGTTTCTGAGCAAGAAAGTGACGCCTCAGCTCCTTTGACTGTCATTTCTGCAGGATACGTACATTTTAATGCAGGGCTATGATCATGGCAAAGATTGCTATGTTTACTTCAACTTATTCTTGAATGTTTTGAGAATGCAGAAAGAGAAAGAGAGAGAGAGAGAGAGGCAGACAATATCTGCACTATCTATACACCCAGATCTGGTTAAAAATAATTGTGTGTGTTTGTATGCAAGCAGCAAATCTACGTCGGAGTGTTAGACTGGGAAATTCATATGGATCTAATAACTCATCAATTATATACAGATTCAACTGCCTCTATCTGCAAAACTCATGATTATATCGAAAACATTTTTTTAATAGAACAATACTTAATATTTAGTCCTTCTGTATACTTTATATTAAGCTTAAGAGAGAATGAGAATAACGATATGGATATTCCCACATTATTGTAAACATCTGTTAATCGATATACATTTTTAGGAGTGGTTACTGAAAACAATTGTGTTTCCTTCATATTCTGTAACTTCAAAATCATTTTGGAAATCATGCTCAGTCACAGAACTACAAGCATAAAGGCCTACTTGAATGGTCTGAGATGTGAGACACACTGCTGAACTCAGCTCCTCCAACTGAATTTGTGGCTTTGTTTATTTCCACCACTGCATACAGACCGACTTTGAAGTGCCATTGTTATTCTAGTCTGGCCCTGTGGGAAACAATAAAAAACACTCCCCTAAATCCAATTTATAAACTGTCAGCCAGGTTGTGTGTCCGTGGCACATTTAAACAGACTGAACTGCATCATCTGACCATGTGACCCAAAAGATTTCTGTGCTGTCTGAGGTCATCTGTATATGCGGTACATGCTTCCAGTGGGTAAACATGTATTCATGCAGTCCAGTCTCTGTCTGAGTACATGCCACCCAGTGGGAGAAGATTGAGGCAATAGTGATATTCCAGTGTTTACAAGAAGCAGTCGTCTCCTTCCCCTCTTACTGTCTCAGAAACATTAGAGAGCATAGCCGAGATGGACCATATCGCTTTCATCGTTACATTTTATTTTTCATTTCAGGGTTTTGAAATGGTGCTGTGCTGTTTCCGTATCAGGTGTGATTTACCGAGAAAGATTAGAATACAGAAAACGACCCACTCTGAATGGAGATTAGGGAAAAAGCAATTAAAGAGTCAGGTCATCCAAATAAAAACATATTTCCCCACCTACCTAATCTTATGTAATCTGTGCATATAATTTATATATATTTATATATTATAGTTTTGCATTATCTGTCATTGAAACCTCTGGAATATGTATCAATAAATAGTTCCAATGGAAAATGTCCACTTTAATTTAACTTTTCACACTCTAGGTATAACAAATGGATTTCTACTCACACCTATTTTCTTTGGTAGTGGTGAAAATCTCATTGGCAAATATTTCAAGATGCCCTCCAAATACAACTGACGCTCTGACTCACTGTGACAAAATATTTATCTTACTTTTTATTCTTTGGATAAAATTTACATGTTGAGTGCGTGCGCATATGATAGACTAACTAGAGATGTCTTTTTAATGGAATGCAAGATAGGAGAAAGTCTGCAAGAGTAAGGTCAACTTACATGTTTTCCTCTCCAATAATACAGAAAGCAGAGAGAATTTTGACAATCTCTGTCATCATGTTGGTCTGTTTGGGGTCAATTGCTCGTGCCAACAGCAACAGGCTCCGCTCATCTCCCAAGATCCTTTGCAGTCCATACTGTAAGACATGGAAGGGAGGAGATAGGATGGAGAACAGGTCCGTTGGGTTTAAATAATAAGAGCATTTGAATTCATGGAGAACTTTCACTTCAAGTAAAAAATGGATTCTACAAAGAAGCTCTAATGTACGTTAATATTCTTTTAAGGAGGGGACAACGAGGCCATGGGAGAAAATGGAGAGGATGATGAATTATTTCAATTCAGGACAGGACTATAGGGACAAATACCTATAGTCTCCTGTACCTTTTAGTCTTCCAGCAACTGAAGGAATGGGCAGAGATGACTATGTGTGGGCATTAACTCTAAGAGAAGCAATATCAATAGTTCACCTGTCCTTGAAATGTGTGCTATTTTTGAGAAATGAGCCAGACGTTCCCAAAAAGGATAATTAAAAGATCTGAGACTATGGGCTTGAAATGGTAAAATTAGCTTCCCTTTATGGTCCCATTATCCCAGGCTTGTCAGAGTCCAGATTCAAATCAGGTTTGGAATCCTGGCACAATTAGAAATTTGAAGATGTTTAATAAAAAGAATGTCCTCTCTTCTTGTGTGTGCTTTCCAGTTACTGGAACAAACCACTAGAAATTACCTTCTACAATTGAATTAAAATTATATAATTTGAATTTCAGGGCAATAACGCTGTTTTAATCATGACAGGAGGATCTTATTTTATCATTGCATCCAAGCAATATCATTTTATCATGCAGTTATACTGAGTTCATTATCTAATGAATCAGTTGAGTGGATGGTCTTTTCTTCATTGACTCATACAAACCTTATTGTTCATGAAAGCCTTCAAGCATTGGATAAGTTTATGCTGGTTGCGTTTATCAATATTCTCTTGCCTGAAAAAATATCGGAAAAGATATTGTGATTGCAAGAATAGAACCTGGTATCATAAAAATTACACAGAGATGGGAAGTCATAGGCGATCACTTACTGTTTCTTGTCCAGCAGCTTCTCCAAAGCATCCAGAAGAAGGCCGAGACCCTCATGACCGAAGTTATTAACCCAACTAGAAAGAAGACACAGACACACAAAAAAATCAGTAACCCAATATTCAGTCAGCACTGTTATTGCCCTGCTGGTTTATTGTAAGCCAAGTTAATTCACTGAAGAAAGCCAACACAAACAATATTGTATTAACCTCAGAGGAAATCAGTCATTCAGACTACTATCAAAGGTTAACACACCCTTAGATAAACTGACTGATGCAGTTTTTAATTCCTAACAGAGAGAGCTGCAAATCTAAAAAACACCCGGCCCTCACTGATTCTGAATACAGTCGGAATGAGTGTGAATTTAAGCCGTACCCATCTACAAGTAAATGAACACCCATCCATCTTAACTAGTGTTCCCATCGCTAAGCAGTTTGTATCCAGGCCCCCCTGTGAGCTGCTATGTTCCTGTGCCAAAAGATTAAGCAATTCAAGGAAGATAACACTGTAATCGATAATGGATAGTGAGAGATAATTGGCTATAAACCACAGCGTATCAGGAGACGGCAAATGATCTAGTACAGATGAGCCCGTTTGTCTAAGCTAGAGGAAGAGAGAGGAAGGGAGAGGGTGGGAGGGACAAGGGTGGTCGCAGCCAGATTATGTCATTAGCATTACTTGTTTTCAGGCCCCTAACTGTCAGTAACACAAAATGCATGGAGCAATTTTCTAACATTACCGGGGCATAAGTCAATGATGTATCACGCCTTTTTGACAATGATTTGAAATAATAATGGTTTGAGTATTAAAGTCATTTGTATTGACTCAGTGAGTCGGAAGAGACCTTCAATTAGGGACGAGATGCATTTGCCTGAGGCAACTAGCACAGTTTAGGTGAGGTATTTCTTTGATCTGTGACGAAATTAGCACACACTACAACACCCCACATACCATTACTCAAATTTCATTAGCAAACAATTTCTAAGTTATTCATATTTAGTGTAGTGTATAATGATGATCTGTTTTCTTAAAAAAACAAAACATCATAATGTAGTAAATTCATAAATGTCAGTTTACAATGAGCCTTCCAGATTGAATGTTTTCTTCCAGCATGTGCTTTGCACATATTTAAGGCCATAAAAGAAGAAATAACAAACTGGCTCATTTACTCCAGCATAACAATGCAGTTATATGTATTTGTGCTACAGAGGTGGTAGGAGTA